AGTTTTGAGGATTTTCCTTGTTTGTTGCATTAAAAATACAAATCTTGCCTACATTGTTTACTCCAGAGCTTGCTTCAGCATCTGGAGATTGAGTGAAATTATGACAACTCAAGAATCCAGGAAGTGAAATTTGAGCAAATCAGATGTGATTTCATCTTCAGTTATTCAGAGATTTTAGTGACAAAAGGGATCATGCCATCATGTAGTCTGACTTCTTACATAACAGAAACCATGGAATTTCACCCTGTAGTTCCTGTACTCTGTCCAATAAAAATATGGTTGAATTACAGCATAGTGTTTAGAAAGGCATCTGATCTTGATTTTAGAAGTCCGGGTAAAATGTTTGCTCCTAATGCTCAGGTCATTCTAAAATGGGATGGTCACCTAATTCACTTAGACTTTTAATATTTTAGTTCTCTCTTTGAAAAATGTCTGTCATGACTGGTATGGAGCCACACCAAAAAACAACTAACTTTTTGCCTAATGTTGCTTACAATGACTTTTGTAGAGAGGAAAAACAATGTGGACCTACTGAAGACCTTACTGTTTCTTTAGTTTTGTAAGGCTCTTCACCTTTCATTCATCCTTTCCAAATACAATTTTTATTATAAGAAATTAATAATAATTTCTTGCAGTGTAATAAGAAAAATAAAATAAGTCTGAGTCAGAAAAACAATTAAATAGATCCTTAACATTTATATATTAGAAATAATGATAAAAAACCAGATTAACAGAAGGCTCTAAACTTTGCCTCTGTAGTACTGGTACTTTGGAAAACCTGAGTACCAAAGCTTTTCAGCTGTGTACCAGGCCAGGCAATTTTGAGAACAGTATCTATATCCTCAACAAGAAATTCATGTGCCATGATTTCTCTTTCTTTACGTAATTTCTAATGAAGCTTCTGCAGCCTCTGGTCAAAATTCTCAAAGCACTTTCCAGAGCTGTAGTTGACCATGAATACGTGATCAACAAACAATATCTATGAAAACAGTATCTGAAAATTAAGGCTGGGAAAGGACAAAGCGATACATGAAATAATCTAACACCGTTTCTTATCTGCATCGTTCAGCTGGAGGACTTCATGTTGAGAAGCGTGAGTGTTAAACAGTAATCCTTAAATTCTGCTCAGGTAGGGGAAAACCTATCCTTCATCTCACCATCCATTTGGGCAATCATCAAGGTACTGCCATTATCAAGTGCCTCTTATCTGTAGGTACAAAAATGGGACAGAAGATGAGAGACACTGCCATCAGCTTTACTTTTTTCCATTCCTGTTGTAGCTAATGCTGAGTAGAACTCACTACTGTGACTTTTGTTTGTGGGCTAACAAAAGCACAGTGGGAGGAATGGCAACTGCTTGCAGGGATATCAGCTGGGGTGCGCTGCCACATATTGCCTGCACCTAAGCCTCACCTTCCAGATATTATCTCAAGGTATCACTGAAAACTTTGAAATAAAAGAGATCAAATGTGGCCTTTCTAGTGGAGCTCGAGGTTGTCACAGAAGGATAGCAGCATACACCTGTGGAGAGTGAGGGAGGTAGCAATGACAAAAACACTTTCAGATTATTTGTTTGCAGTGTCAGAGCCCTCAACCAGTTTATGTTTTAATTCTCTTAAATTGCCCATATTCAGGACATTCAGTCATGAGAATAACCATGTCAAAGAGGGAGAGATCCTTACAGCACGCAGTAATAAGATACTTTAATTTCTTATTCAGTTAGAAAGTGGCATGAAAAGAAATTTAAAAATGGTTGTAGATGAGATATGCAGAGGAGGTACAAATGAGATTGAAATAGAAATTTTCAATATGCAAAATAAGTTACTAAAATATTCATACCCACAAACAAATGTATTGTATCTATCCTAACTATGCTTCAAAGTGAGATAAGAACACAACTTCTGTTTTTCATTGATGGTTTCAAGGATTTAGCCAGTTATTTTCATGGAGAATTGCTATGTCACCATTTAATCAGAAGAAATAATAGATCACAGAACAGGCAATGTTTGTTGTTTATTTCCTTAAGACCGGTAAGAATGCAACATGATAAATTGGAAAATTAGACAGCTTAAAATGTTAGCTCAACAAAAGACATCACATATTGTTTATGGATTGCAGTGAGGTTTTGCAATTATTTTTTTAATTGTTCCTGCATTACTTGTGGGCATGTGACATAATTTATGCTGTTATGTTGTCAGGATTCTGATCATGGGAAGGGCCATTTGTTTAGACTGTGTAGCTCTTCACTTTAATTCGGTCTGGCTCCAGTGTGACATGTTAAAACTACTATCAATGGAAAATCCAAATTTCCCAGAAAGACTTAAAAGAGCACCCTCAGTGAACTGAAATTATCTCCTCTTAAAGCTAATTACCTTAGTATACTTAAGAAAGTAGCACTATAGGAAATCTGTTTCTTTAGACTTTCTTCTATTTCTTTAAATGCCTCAGGTCAGCATGAATAATTATTGTTTGCTTTTATTGCACTTTCTTTCATTATTCGTCTACATGCTTCTGAAAGGACATAAAACTAAAATAATCCAACAAATTAAGAGTAATTTTTTGAGACACATATTCATAATTAAAAAACAAACAGAAAATATTTTCACCTTTTAGTTTATTTTATTAGAAAGAAAGTACTGTGAGATTGCTATTTAATAGGAAGCTTTAAAGCATTAATGAGTCTCATAGGGCAGTTATTGCAAGTAAATATGGAATGTGTCCAAAATTAACTACATTCTACAATTACCTGTTACCTAAGGGCTGGATGTAGGAGAAACATACATCAAAGGTTGCTTGCTGATGAAAGCAACACATGATTCTACATTCTATGTCTTCTTTCAAGACAGTACACCTACCATGAACAGTGTAGCAATTTTCCCAGTCCACAATTATGGGTTTGGAGCAGTTTCTTCATTTTGACTGACCCAAACATAACTTTGTCAATGGTTTTAAAGCCCCACATCCCAAGGATTTTATGACCTCACAGGAGCTGCTGTGTATAAGGGCCAACCTGGGAGACAAATCAGGAAGCTCTCATACTCCAAAGCCTTCAGTGTGTACTGGAACAAATGGGCTGGCTTAGATGCTACCAAGGTAGGGTAACAGAAGGGCTTGTGAGAAGAAGGGTTTGCAAGGAGAAGTGTTTCTGAGAAGAGATTTCAACACAGCTCATTATCGCCAAAATCCCATTTCCATTTATTTTCCTATAAATCAGGCACTGCTTTCCCAGACGTGTTATTAAGATAGTTCTTTCCCTATTAGTGCTGTATGATTCAGCTCATCCTTTGTGCAACTCAGGCATGAACAGGAATCCCCTACACCCATTCAGACTGGAACTGTGCTCATCCCTCTCTCGATATGTATTATTGAGACACGGCCAAATGCACTTTGTCACAAACACCTTGTACTGATTTTGTTTTAGCAGTTAAATGTAGCAAACAGTTGAGACATGAAAATAAATAAGGAATTATAGAAAAAAGTTAATTTATTTGAAATGAATGAACAATAGGCCAGTATTCCAACACCTTTTCTAATCCTGGGTTATCCACATGGAAAATAACAATTACTCTCTTTCATTGCCTATTTAGGACAAGTTAAGGAAAAAAAACGAAAAAAATTTAAAGCAAATTTTTAGATATCACCTTTTTTTTTTTATTATTGTCATGAAAATAAAGAAAAACACTGCCACAGCAAATTAAAAAAATCAAAGCACCTTCTGCAAGCAGCCATAATTGCTCACATATCTGCTTGTCTTTTTGTCACCCCAGTGCCATTTCTCAAGCTCTTTGGACAAAGATTAATTTTTGGCCCAAAAAGCAGCAAAATGAAGCCTCTAAATATCATGATAATTTTAGTAATCCTCCCAGTAATATTACTTCTTATCCTAGACTTTGTTTATGTAGTCTTCCCTTTCTCTATACAAAGCTATTGATCATATTGTAAGGAGCTTGTCATGTTGAACCTCTCTCCCCTAGATTAGCTAGTTTAGAAATACTTTCCTTTTAAAGGTCAGCATTCATGTTTGGATGAAAGAGGAAAAAAATTTGACATAAAAAGCCTGCTGCAGAATAAGACATGTAGAAGAAAAGGGATTTTAAAATCTATGTTATTTTCAGAAATGAGCTAAAGATCAGCAGTCAAAGAGCTGCAAATCTCTTGTTATTTTAGCCCTAACTACACAGGATGTTTTCTACGGCCAAAATTCTTGTAGGAAAAAAATACTCTTTGTGAACTCCTGGCTACAAAAGTCATCTTGCAGAAGGGAATAACACTGCTAATTGCATAGGAAAATAATTTCCCTTATCAGTATCTCCTTTTGGTTCTATTCTTGTCTTTTTGGTTTAGGGATGAGAATGACACTGCCTAATAAGCTGCATTTAGTGTGCTTCTCAGTAGCATGATAATAGAGAAATGGATTGATTTGCTGTGCCTTCCATAACTAAATCTACCTAGTTTTTATATTTATATAATAATGATAATGATAATAATTGGCTTTAAACCCTTGTGACAGTCCCTCTTTTATCCAATAGCATATAATGATGAACTTACCAGTTTATGAAATATTTTCTTTTCAGATGCATAATAGTCATTCTTCTGAACAGAATCAGAAAAGCAACTTACTTGGATAAGAATCAAAACTACTTGAACCATAAGAAAAGTTCAGAAAACAAGAAAATGTAGACTCTTTCTTCAAAGGCATAGTCCAGAAGTTAGATGTACAAGCTAAAATGCTCTCTGCTGCAGACAAGCCTAAAATCTTGTGTGTGACGAGTGCACGTTAATGTTTCCAGGAACCAGTTTGAGATTTTTGGGTTTTGGTTTGGGTTGCATTAGGGTTTTTTGATATTTTGCATTAATTAGCTAAACTCTGTAACAAATTTTTTTAAATCCTGCAGCAAAAGCAGATTCCTTACCATAAAAAAAAAGCAACTAAAGAAAAATAGATTAGGGTAGACTAGGGAACAGAGTAAGTTATTTATTTGAATACAGTTTGGGTTTAGCAGTTTAATTCTTTCTTTATTATTTGTGGGTACACACCAAGCATTCTACATGTACATATTTGAGCAACATAGCATGTGTTCAAGTGATCAACATAAAGGTAAGCTTAATATGTAATATTGTAAAAATTAACTAGAATATTAACTTACTACAAGTTATTAGAAATTAGGATCCAGTCTAGTTCTGTATATTAGTGTTGAGTTTAAAGACATGAGGAATCAAATAGGGCTCTGAAGGTTTATTCCTTTTTTCTTTCTTTTTAAACAAAATCTGAAGTATCCCGCATACATTTTTGGGTGTTTTGAAAATCCTTTCCCAAGTATTTAGACACCAGGGTGGGAAGGATTTTTCAAGCAGAAAAGAGCAAAGAGCAGAGGGAACTTCAAACCTGAAGTAAAGCAGCAGCAAGAGATAGTTGGTGACATCTGAAAGTGACAGGACTGCTGATTGTCATCAAGCAAGTTGCCTAAATTTTAAAGAGAACAGAAAACCTGTTAATTTCTTCATTTTGGGGGATTTGTGACTTATTAAAATTTTTTGCATATTTTGACATCCTGATTTGCAGCTTGGATATGCCTGGGCTAAAGACCTTAGTAATTTTGGGAAAGACACACAATTCTATCTGGGCTAGCTTACAAAAATGTTGGTGTCTTGCTTTGAGGTAATGAATTCATGTCTGGCTTTGTGATTCTAAAGATCCTTAGATGGAGTGAAAAAATAACAGAGACATTCTGGAGTAATCTTTAGTTAGTCTTTGACTGACCTCTTGGAGAATGACTGAATTTCTATTGTGTGGACATCTGTGGTTGGAGCTGAAGGAGGGGTAGGCTTCCAGAAATGGAAAAGTCTGAGAACAGCTGGAATATGGTTCCTCAGATGCTGTGACAGTATCCAGAAATATCTGTGGTATGACAGAAACAGTGGAGGAGTCATGAGATTATATTCCGCACAATTGTTACAGCTCTTTTTTTCTGCACCTCACCTTAATTTATTGATGAAACAGAGCCTGGGGATCCATTGTTTTACAGTATTTCAAAAAGTAAAAGACAGGATTAAGCCTCAAGTTTACCATAAAGAAACCTCTGAAAAAAGATCTTGCAGAACACAGGAAACATTTTAAAATATAAACTTTGTAAGTCCTATTTAAAATAACTTTAAAACATTCAGGAGACTAGGTTTACTAGTATACATTCTTCAAAATGTTGTACTGATATTCAATTATTTACATTTAAATGCATAGTTGATCACAACAAATACATTCCCATATGCTTAATTGACATTATCCAGTCCAGCCAATTCAGGTTTCTCATTCTCCAGCCTCATGGGCAATCACAGCATGCATCATCTGGTTTCCTCCAAGCTTGGAAAAAACCCATCTTCTGAGTCCTTTACACATTCTGATCCCATTAGAGGAGGAAGTGCCGAGACCAGCAGAGCCAGCAGCATTTCAGCCCGTGTGCCAAGGGCTGTGTCAGTGACCAGCGAGACCAGCCTTTGGTAGCCCCAGCGATATCGCTGCTATCAGCGCTACAAGATACTGCTTTAAGCCTTGCTCAGCAGAGCCTTCTGCTGCAATGGTAGGTGAGAAAGGCCAGCTGATAGCTCTGTCCACCTATATTTGTAACATGCTGTCCTTACTGTAATTAACTCACGTCCCCAAAATACTGAGGTATTTCCTGCTGTGCAAATTTCCTTTGCTGAAGTCTACAGTAACCTTTCTCACTGTGTTCAGCAACCATTCTATCCAACTTCCCTGGGCTACACTGTCCTGCCCTGCTGCCATATAGAAACACGGAATTTCTAGTCTACATCTGAAATTCTCATTCTCTACTTTTTCTTTCTCTGGGTTGAACAAATTCAAGATAAAGCCTGTGAATTACATGATCAATATCAGTTAATTAGCCTTACCTTCTCCTCAGTATTTACTGCTTTTTCATTATCTCACTTTAGCTGATGATTTAACAACTGTTAGATTTTCTCAGAAGCTGAGTTGACAACCATTGAAATCTTCACTGTTCATGAAAGAGACCAATCTTTCAGTCTGTTCAGGCTATTCAGCCAGATTTGGAGGTTTCTGCTATAATGGAGAAGCTTTACTTTTGACTGGGTCCTTCATCTAGGCTTGTGTCAAATTTATCAAATTATCAAATTTATATTTAATCTTTGACACTGGGATATTATTCTGAAATTATTAAGTTATTTCTAATATCTATAAAAATCTAATGATTTACAGAATTTTTGTTCTATTAGTGAAAAAAAAGGAATTAATTACTCATTCAAAGAAAAAAAAAAAAAGTCGTGCTGCTGAAGTGTGTAAATGCCACAACTTGATGAACATTTACTTTGGTAGATGTTATAAAAACCTCCCAACAAGTCAATTGTGTTGCTATAAGACACTGCCTAAGTTCTCATTAAAAGATTCAGCCTTGGTCTCTAAGGTCAGGTCCCAAGAGTCTATTTGATTCCAGATGCAGACGTAGTCTAACCTGCTTCTACTCACTATTTATACCCCTTTCCAGGAAAAGAAATCTGATTTCAGAATTTTCAACATCTAAAAAGAATGCATCCATGAATACAGCGAAGAGGGGTATGATGTACGCTATTAGGAGCACTGCCTTTGTTAAGGAGACAGCTTTAGACCTTGACAACTCTTATGTCTGCTGACACCATTGCCCAAACTTGAGTCACATTTTATTATACACCTGACCAACACAAGCTTTTGGAAAATCTATAGCACAGAAGTGAGCTGAGAGGTAGCATGGTGCTGAGGCACAAGGAAATGGTTGGAAATTGTTTGGAAGAGGCAGCTGTACAGTGTAGGCTTTGAACATGAACATGAGATTAATGCCCAAGTAAAAGAGATTAAAGAAAACATACAAACAACCAGCTTGGACCGGGGGAATGATTTTCATTATATTTTTCCAGCAGAACCTAGTGTCCTTCTACTGCAGATTCTGCAAACTTACACTTCTGGCTCATTTTTTCCTGCTCTTAAGATTATACAACCATGCTTGTGGAATTATTCCTGGTTAATCCTATGTTATGGTACAGCCACTCCTTGCTGTCTGGAAATGAAGGAAAAATTTCCATGAGCTGCAGATGCCAAAACAAGAGGCAGGAAAGGGTTAGTTTAAGCATGGATGAGTGCACTCTGGGCTTAGATTAGACCCACTAGAAGTGGGCAGAGGATTTTCCTAAGTCTCCCAGACAACTCTTATCCCTGCCCATTTATCCTCTGAAGATACCTTGATAAAAGTCCAGGCCTGCCCTTCTAAAAGCAGTATTGGTTTGGTCTTCCAAGACTGAACTCTAAAATGCACAACTCACAAAAGCATAAAGGTCTTGGGCAGGTTGAGAAGGAGAAGGACTATGAGCCAGGCTGGGTATCCAGAGGAATCTGCTGCATTTCTCATTGGAAAAAAAATTAATAAATCCTGCCTGCACTGAAGCAAGAAGTACAGCAAAGTTGCACTGTCTTGTGAACATAAGTGTGCTTCTATTCCACACTCAGATGCTGGTGGTCAGCTGGGCCATGTCCTGTTCTCAGAATTTGGCCAAGTATAAATATTTACTAGAATTTTTGTTATTGTTTTAAGACAAAGGTCAGCATAGGAGAACAGACTATGTATCAGCCCTTTTTCCTTCAGCATTAAAGCTCTTTTGTTAGTTTGCTAGAACCTGACTGCATAAGATTTACTTTCCCTATCTTCAAAGTATGGCCATTTGGCACATAGGAATGGCTCTGTGAGTTCTCCAGATGACTAATCTCAAAGAAACTCTGCTAACTTACTCAAGGACTGCATCTGACCAAACCACAACAAACTATGCCCCACATACCTTCTGAAAGAGATGCTGTAATAAAAGAGAGGAAATGATATTTTGTCATCTGTAAGCATCAACAGAAGCCTCTTCATTGATACTGGAGGTTTCAGACAGCCTAATATCAGCAGCTGGAATTAACTCCACTCAGACTGCTGATCTCAAATTGCAGCTGCATCGTAGCAAACACTAGAAATCAGGAAGAGGCTGTTAGGGAAATGACCTCCCCTTACCTGCCAGCTGTAGAAGAGCACATGTACCTGCACCATCTGTGGATACAGCTTCACTGTAATTTAAAGTGTAAAAGCCATCATATTTTTCTGTCAGGATTCAGGACTCCCTAGTGTACACTAATATGTAAAACACTTTGTTGGTATAAGGTCCAATTGCATGTGCACATATGTCAGCCTTTACTGAGGCTCACTAAGTCATTGTCAGGCAGATGTTGTTTTGCCAGGTGTGCTTTTGTAGAACTTACATCTGCATAACTTTCCCAGAGAGGATTTTTAAATTGGAGATGGGCAAAGTCAAAGAGTTTAGAGGTTCAACTAAATAAGCATCTAAAAATCTGGATGATTATCTGAACCAAATCAAGATCCCCAAAATAAGAGTATAGGCCTTATAGAATAGACAAAAATTATACCATTTCCCTGCCATGATGACTTTTTAAATTTGCAGGTTATTTTAAGTCAGATTTTTGCAAACTACAAAGCTTTATTTAAGTCTTGCATAAGGCTTCAGGTCAGTTTAATTTTAGCCTAATCATTTTCTTAGTCCCTAGTTTAAAACCTTGTGAACCATATTGCAATCCATTTAATGTAGGTGGAAAAGTTCCCATTATTTTGAATAAAAAAGGAAACTTTGCTCTATGCATCTTAGTATATCTAATGCAAAAAGCAGAAACTCTGTATAGAAATAAGGCTTTAACTTGCCTATATTTTTTAGTGTGAGAAATAGGATATTGATGCCAATACCGGTGGTTCAAAAGTCACTTTTTTTTTTTTTCATTGTGAGAGAGCATTATATTAGTAGTTTGAGGGAGTTTAATAAAATGCCTCATTTTTCTGCTGTATAAAACTAACTAACCTAAAATGCAAAGCAACTAGATATTTGATAGACTTTGGCGGTTTGGCAGGTTGGATGCTGTTTGCTGCAGAAATCTTTTGGGGTTGTTTTTTTCCCTCAACAAAATAATCATAATTCTTCCTCTTCACATGTTAAACATTTTAAAGCTCTTGACAGATAATAATAAAAGTTGGACCTAATGGCTGGATTTGAGGAAATAATTAGTAATGGAAAATTCATTAAAGACGTATGGCTTATTTCCTCACCTAGAAATATTCCTCCAGAGGAAACAAATTTGGTGATGGAATTTTCTGTCAAGGTTAATAGAAAATTATTTTCCAGTCAATGAAATTACTTAAAATAATTCTCTCTACTTATTGATTATTTATAATTCTGAAGTGATAACATCTCTTACTATTGCTTCATCATTAGTCATCCAGTAACTTCTTTTAAAAATCCAGCATTTGTTATGTGAAATATTTTTCTTGTATAAAGAAACATTTGTCTGATGGAAGATATATTTTTTAAAAATATGTGAGAATTTCACAGAAAAACATTCTGCTTCACAGAATTACTTATTGTGATATGCTACCAAATATTTCCAGAACATTTTTGTAAAATGGAAGCAATTAAACTGCAACCATTGCCAATGAATCAATTGGTTTGATTAGGATATGTAAAAATACTGATTTCTACTGATATAAAGTCGTTAGAAGAAAAAAATCTGTAAACAACATAAATGTGCAAAGAGGAATTGCACAATTCTCTGTACTTTTGACTACATTTGTATCTTTACAGTAGGGCATAAACACACGTTGTTGGAGAATCTTTATTTTGCTGTGCAAGTTCTCAAAGTTCTCAATGTTACCACCTTTCAGACTGTGTATAGATGAACAAGAACTCTGTAGACACTTTTCATTTGACAGATTTACTATATTATACATCTCATTATTCAGTATACTAATGATGAAAACCATGTGAAATACGATGGAATCACAGAATCACATAGGTTGGAAA